GTTTCCTTTTTTAGCCTATTCCTAAAACTTACCTTGCAGGGGAAGCAAAATAAAGCAAAAATTACAAAAAAAAAAAAAAAAAATCCACATTTCAGAGTTGTAGGAGCTAAAGTCCAGAGACTTATTGGGTCACTTGGAGATTAACTGGTGGCAAATTTGTGGTCTGCACTAAGATCTTAGTCTCAATTTTGGTCTTCTAACCAATGGATCTGTATTTCATTCCATTAACACTTGAACTTTTATAGGGGAACTCTGGGGTTTGGATGGAGTAATCAGGGATTCATGAATGAAATATAGATGGGAGACTTGGATCATTTCTTACTACTTCCTGGACTGGGACTTAGTATGGAAAAGACTTGCTGAGGGCTTACCCATAGAGGGAGGGATAGAGCCTGGATTCCACCCAGGTCATTCACCTGAATACCTGTGGGCTTTGTGTAGTACCTTACTGGTACCCAGGTGCCTGAGGCCACTGTGAAGCTATTATAGGCCAAGGTAGGTTCCTGTCATGGTTGTTCTTTTGTCCAGATGCATCTTTAGAGTCTGGCATAGCTGGCATAATGGTGCTAAGGCTCTATTCTGCATGGAAACAAAAATGTAGAAGCCACATGTAATCTCAGCACTTGGGAGGCTGAGGCAGGAAGATTGAGTTCAAAGCCGGCCTGGGCTACATAGCAACAAAGCAAGACCCAGTCTTAAAAAAACGGAAGACAGAAAGGGAGGGAGGGAATGTAGAAGAATTGACTTGTTCTGTGGTTTGGCTCTGGCAGAGGAGTGAGTTCTGTGGTTCGTCGTTGTGTTCACCGAGCTACTGGTGATGAGTTTGCAGTGAAGATCATGGAGGTGACAGCTGAGCGTCTGAGTCTTGAGCAGCTAGAGGAGGTGCGAGAAGCCACTCGGCGAGAGATGCACATCCTTCGCCAGGTCGCTGGCCACCCCCATATCAGTGAGCCCGAGTTCCCTATTCCTGCTAGCTGGTAGTCCCCATCACCTGTTAACCCTTTCCCAGCCCACACCCTCACATTGCCTCTAGGTCTCTCAGCCCTTCCTCCTAACTCATTCCACCTCCAAGAGTGGCTCAGTCTTTGGGGTGCTATAGCCTCCTTGGTTCTCCTTCCTTCCCAGTATAATAGTCCACTGCTGACTTTGGGAGAAAAGCACCTACAATGTGTATCCACTTCTTTCCATCTCTGTCTCTATCTTTCTGCCTCTTTCCCCAGTCACACTCATCGATTCCTACGAGTCTTCTAGCTTCATGTTCCTGGTGTTTGACCTGTGAGTATCACCCTGCCCATCTGAGAAGCCTACTCCTTGCCTCCATGTGTGACCCAAGTTTTACAGCTTGGGTGGGCGAGAGACACCCTGCTTACATCTTCCTCTGCTCCAGTGAGGTGTCTCTATCGTCTTGCCTACCTAAAAGCCCAAGGCACAGCCCTTCCCCTTAGGTGCCATGATTGAGGCAAATACTTCAAGCATAATAGTGATGACTCAAATGCAGAAAGTGCTAATGACCCAAGGTGTCCCAGTCCCTCATGATTATAAGATGACCTGGGTGCGGGGTGGGAGGGCTAGAGAGATAGCTCAGTGGATAAGAGCACTTGCTGCTCTTATAGAGGATCCAGGTTCAGTTCCTAGCGCCAAGTGGTGGCTACTAATTGTTCATAACTCTAGTTCCATGATATTCAGTGCCCTCTTCTGGCCTCTGCAGCTATTGCACGACATGGGTGCACTTATATACATGCAGACAAAATACTCATGCATATAAATAAAAATGATGGAGGGGGGAGGTTAAGAAAATATTTAACAATGAACATCCTCAGCAGTCTCTTAACAGGCTGCACTGCTGTCCACCTTTACCAACTGCAAAGGTATGTTAAGAGTATGATCATCCAGGTGTCATGCCTATAATCCCAGTACTCCAGAGGCTGAGGCAGGAGGATTGCAAATTCAAAGCTAGCCTGGACTGCATATCAAGACCCTATGTCTGGGGGAAATAATAATTTGAATACCAAAGATTTAAAGAAGCCTTCAATGTATTTATAGAAATGTCCTTCTGCAAAAATCTAAGGGAAAATAGGAAGCGTCTATTCACTGTCCTGAAACTTTGTAAGGTGGTGGCGGTCTACGTTGAATATTGATGCAGAATTGCAATTATAACATCAATTTTTATTTATTTTTATTTTATATGTATGAGTGTTCCTGCATATATGTAGTGCACCCATGTCGTGCAGTGCCCACAGAGGCCAGAAGAGGGTTTTGGATTCCCTAGAACTAGAGTTACAGATGGTTGTTAGCCACCATGTGGGTGCTGAGAACTGAACCTGGGTCCTCTGCAAGAGCAGCCAGTGCTCTTAACTGCTGAGCCATCTCTTCAGCATCTATAATCCCAATTTTAAAGCATGATAAAATAAGTAAATTTCAAAAATAGTCTAATTCTACTTTTTTTTTTTTTGTCTTTTTGAGACAGGGTCTCCCTGTACCCCCAGCTGTCCTGGAACTCACTATATACACCAGGCTGGCCTCGAACTTACAAAGATATGCCTACCTCTGCCTCCCAAGCACTAGGATTAAAGGCGTGCGCCACCATGCCCAGCTTAATTCTACTTTTTATAACTGTTAACCAAGCTATTGGTCCATGTTCTAAATATTGACTTTAAGAGGTCTTTTGTAGACATAGTTATTCCCAGATTTAAAAAAAAGGAAAAAAAAAAGACCTATGAATTATTGTCACAAGGAGTCACTTATTAAGGGCTAGAGAGATGACTCAATTCTTAAGAGCATTGGCTGCTCTTGCAGAGGACCCAGGTTCAAATCCTAGCACCCACATGGCAGCTAACAGCCATCTGTAACTCCAGTTCTAGGGGATCCAGCACCCTCTTCTGGCCTGCACCAGATACCCAAGAATAACACTCATATACATAAAATAAATACAGTTTTAAAAAGAAATCACCTATTAAATAATCTCACTATAGCACATTAAGGATCTGTCAGTCACCAACCCAATGTGTCAAACTGCCCCTGACATCCAGTTCACTTCTGGAAGGCTCTTTCCCAAGACCTTCTATTATCTACAGAGGAATCTCTTCTCACTAACCTCTTCATGATTTATGTAAGCCCTGGCTTATTTTCTCAGCCTCCAGTAGAGTGCATCTACCTGCCCTCTTTCTTCCCAATCCCTTAGGATGCGGAAAGGAGAGCTATTTGACTATCTCACAGAGAAGGTGGCCCTCTCAGAAAAGGAAACCAGGTAATGGTAGAGCCTGAAGCCCCTGGGATGAGCAGGGGGTACAGGGAGAAACAGAAAGAATGTATGCCTCCCCCAGGTCCATCATGAGGTCTCTGCTGGAAGCAGTTAGCTTTCTCCATGCCAACAACATTGTGCACCGAGACCTGAAGCCTGAGAATATTCTCCTAGATGACAATATGCAGATCCGCCTTTCAGATTTTGGGTTTTCCTGCCACTTGGAACCTGGCGAAAAGCTTCGAGGTAAGGGGACCTGGTACCCTAAGATGCTTGGGAGGGAAGGAGCCTCAGGCCTCAGGTGGGTTGGCAGGGTTTAAAACAGCCCTGGGTGCATACCCTCTCCATGCAAAGGCTTTTGTGCAACTTAATGGACATCTTTCCCTGGAAGATTGGAGATGGATTAGTAAGCAGACAGGACCACAGTTGGCAAAGGGCCTTGCCAGAGAAGCTAGGAGGAAAGAAAACTGTTTACCTGAGGGACCCATAGAGGAGTGGTCTCCAGTGCTGGGCTTTGTCCCAGGAGAAAGGAAAGAGTAGGGGCTGGAAGGGCTCAGCCGTTTGGAGTATGGCTCAAACAAGATCACTCACTATATAGTACTTAAGTGCTGTGAGGAACCTGATATGTCTACACATCTTTATGTAAATTCTTACCTAGGGCCCTGGGACTCTGGCTCACTCAGGGTGAATACATCCATTGTGAAAAGAAATAATTTCTAGGGCTAGGGAAATGGCTCAGTGGGTAAAATGCTTGCCATGCAAGTCTGAGGACTGGAGTTTGGAGCCCAGCACCCACAGAAATGCTAGCATGTGGGAGGCGGAGATGGGAGCCTCAGGGCAAGCTGGCTAATTACACTAGCTCAATCAGCAAGGTCTTGGGTTCAAGGTAGAAAGCCATCGAGAAAGACACCCAATGTCAGCCACAGCCCTCCACATCCATACATAAACACATGCATAGCACACAAGACATATTTCTAGTACAGATAGGAAACTTTAAGTAAATTCAAGTGCAAGAATTCTCAAGAGCTTTTAAGTTGCTATCTTGTCCTTTGCTGCACATAGCTGATAGCTAACAAATAATGGGCATTTACCATGAGGCTTATTTCTCTTAAGTCTTCTCAACAATCAAAGGAGATAAAAAAGATCTGTGTCTCAGCTAGGCATAAAGATACAAGACGACTTGCCCAGGTTCATTCATCAAGGATTTGAACTTGGGTAGTCTAATGTGTGAAATTAACACGTCTTGTGTATGCTGTACTGCATTTCCCTTTGGGCTTCCACATATACTCACCCAGCTCTCAATTTATTTTTAATTATGTGTATATGGATCCCCTAGGAGCTGGAGTTACAGGCAGTTATGAGCCACCTGATACTGTTGCTGGGAATTCATCTCAGGTCCTTTTGAAGAGCAGTATGTGCTATTAACCACTGAGTCATCTCTCCAGCCTAGTTCCTGTTGGTTTTTGTTTGTTGGCTGATTGGTTGGTTTTGGTTTTTTGAGACAGAACTCACTATGTAGACCAGGCTGGCCTCTCACTCAGAGATCTGCCTGTCTCTGCCTCCAGATACTGGGATTAAAGGTGTGTACACCACGCCTGGCTTTTTGTTCTACGTTTTCTTCATTATACAGATTTTCACTGTTATTGTTTGCTTTCTGGAAGATAATGAGCTTGGTAAAGGTACATCTAACCAATGGCTGTAGCGTTCTTGGTATGTGCTAGATATTCAATAAATACTTGATATTGAGTTCCCAAAAGGCAGTTTCAGTTTAGGCTTAAAAAATTCTCTTGGAAGTAGTATGCCATGGAACAGTTTGAAATTTCTGAAATGGAAGAATTGGTGTCTGGGGTGACAGAGGAAAATAAAAACAGAGATTTGTATAAAGTCATGAAAGACTCTGGGCTGGAACTTAAACTTGATCCTGATGCCATGTTGGTGAATCAAGGAAGGGTTTAACCAGGGAACTGACCCAGTATGTCTTTAAGAAGTTCAGGCTTGCCAGGGGTGGTGGTGCACGCCTTTAATCCCAGCACTTGGGAGGCAGAGGCAGGCGGATCTCTCTGAGTTCAAGGCCAGCCTGGTCTACATAGCAAGTTCTAGGCCAGCTGGGGCTACAGGGAGACCCTGTCTCAAAAAGACAAAAAATAAGTTGAGGCTTATGCTAGGTGCATACTTCATAATCCCAGCACTTGGAAAGCAGAAACAGGCAGATCTCTGAGTTTAAGGCTAGCCTGATCTACATAGACAGTTCTAGGTTAGCCAAGGCTACACAGTGAGACCTCTCTTTAAAAAAAAAAATCAAGGCTGGGGATATAGCTCAGTGATAAGAGTGCTTGACTACATATGTAAGGCCCTGGTTCAATCCCTGACACTGAAAGAAAAACAAATTTCATCTTTCAAACTGAAGAGTACAAAAAAGAAACCTTGTATTTTTACTTCTCCTTTGGTGAGGTGGTTCTATTAATCAGAATGGAGATCACAGAAGGAAGGAAAGGCTTGGTAGAGGAGTGCAGAAAAATTGAAGTTTTTCTTTCCATATACATTATGTATCTAATAATGTAACAAATCATGAGGAATGAGTAGTTTGGCTTGGCTTGAGGATTGGAGGAGGCAAATTATACGGCTGAGTGAATCTTGAAGTCATTCCCAAGTAGGGTTTTTTCTAGGAAGGCTACCAGGAGCCTTGGTGGGTACTTAAGTTGGTTATCCAGGAACACAGTCTTGTTCTGAGGCTCAGCAGGAAGCACACAGAAGCAGAAAGGGAACACTAGTGACTCTGGCAGTGCTGAGGGGCTCCAGCAGTGATCTGGTGTTGAGGGCTCTGGAAAGGGTTGGTGGTATTCCTTTAATTGCTGCCCTTTCTCCCCAGAGTTGTGTGGGACTCCAGGGTATCTAGCACCAGAGATCCTTAAGTGTTCCATGGACGAAACCCACCCAGGCTATGGCAAGGAAGTTGACCTGTGAGTTTCTGTCATCTCTATCTTCCAAATGTGTTACTTCTTGCTTGTTACCAAAGCCTGTCTAACTATAATCTCTTTCTCAGCTGGGCCTGTGGGGTTATCTTATTCACACTTCTGGCTGGCTCACCACCATTCTGGCACCGGCGCCAGATCCTGATGTTACGCATGATCATGGAGGGACAGTACCAGTTTAGTTCACCCGAGTGGGATGACCGTTCTAACACCGTCAAAGATCTGGTGAGTTGGGGCCATGAGAGGATACTGGGGAAGACTGAAGGCCTGACTCTCACACTGTAAAATTTTCTCTAGATCTCAAGGCTGCTACAGGTGGATCCTGAGGAGCGCCTAACTGCAGAGCAAGCCCTACAGCACCCCTTCTTTGAGCGCTGTGAAGGCAGCCAACCCTGGAACCTCACACCTCGCCAGCGGTTCCGGGTAAGCCTGAGGGGGCAGGGTCTACACTTGGGTCTGTTCTGTTCTGTGACCTTCCCCTATACTGGATGCATCATTGTCCCCTTTCCCAGGTGGCAGTATGGACAATACTGGCTGCTGGGCGCGTGGCCTTAAGCACTCACCGTTTACGGCCGCTGACCAAGAGTGCACTATTGAGGGACCCCTATGCACTGCGGCCAGTACGGCGTCTCATTGACAACTGTGCCTTCCGGCTCTATGGGCATTGGGTGAAGAAGGGCGAGCAGCAGAACCGAGCAGCCCTCTTCCAGCACCAGCCTCCTAGACCTTTTCCCCTGGTAGTCACTGAAGAGTCCACTGCTATCACTGAGGATGAGGCTGCACTGGTGCTGGGCTAGGACATCGGCCCTGGGCAAGCCAGAAAAGCAGGATTCTCAGGAGGAGTTTTGTTTTTTTTGTTTTTTACATCATTCCAGCCCTCAGGGCTCTGACCTTCGGCCCCCTGCTTTGCTAAGCCTACCACTGATAATGCTACTGTCATAGAAACCAGCCCTGTACATCTATCCCTTCTTCTGGGCTTAGAGATCAGACCTGGGATAAAAGGAAGCTACTGTGAATGCTCCTGCCTGGCCTCGTCACTGCCACCTGTGCTGCATCTGAAATAAAACTTACTACAAGCCCGGGAAAGCCAGCGCCCCATGTCTGCTGTCAGGCTTCCATCAGGAAGCCCAGAAGGTGCTCATGAAAGTGGGGAATGGTGTGCTCTGGCCCAGGTCTTTATTCAAGAAAATGCTGGCGATCACTTTGTCTTGTTCTTATCTTTGCTGAGAGGTAGCTGATAGGGCTGCTCTAACGCAGTCAGTTTGCTGCTCAGCCTGTCCTCACTGGCCTTGAGCCTCTCTTCCACCAGCTGCTGGAGCTGCCCCAGCTCCTTCTTCATTTGGATCTTGATATAGTTTTGGAGGACACACACCTGACCTACAGGGGGGCAGATAGGAGAGATGTTATCTGGGAATCAGAAGCTACACAGAGGTAGTGTTGCTTAAATTTAGGAAATGCCAGCCAGCCCTCTGAGATGGTTAGACTGCACATTCATTGCTGTGTGGCCTCAGGCAGATTACTTAACCCATGCATCAGTTTCCTTGTGTAAAGCATGGATAGTAATGTTACCTAGCATGTAGGATTGAGTTAATATGCACAACATGCTTAAAACCAGGCATCCTGGCCAGGTGTGGTGGTACACACCTGTAGTCCCAGCACTTGGGAGGCAGAGGGGCAGGCGGTCTGAGTTCAAGGCCAGACTGGTCTACATAGGGAGTCAGGACAGCTGGGGCTACAGGGTGACCCTGTTTCAAGAAGACCAAAAAAAAAAAAAAAAAAAAAAAAAAAAAAAAACAGGCATCCTGGTACACAGTATTGCCAGACCTGGATTTGTTGTTATCACTGGTTTTCTCATCATTCTCTTTGTGGAACCAAATAGTATCATTTAAAGAGGGGACACCAGGACTAAATACTAAGTGTGAAGTCCTGGGCTAGAAACATGGTGGAACACGCCTATCAGCCCAGCACTCAGGAGACTGGGGAATGGGGGTGGGGGTAGGGATCTTGAGTTCAAGGCCAACCTGGGCTATATAGCAAGACCTTGTTTAAAAAGCAAAACAAGGGCTGGTGAGATGATTCAGTGGGTAAAAGGGCTTGCTATGCAGGCCTGACAACCTGAGTTAAATCTCTGTAACCCACAAAAAGAGGACTGAATCCATAAAGTTGTCCTCTAACCTCTACGTGCACATATAACACACCACACACACAACTCCAGAAAAATACAACACAATCAACCAAGGCCTGGTAGTACAGGTTTATAATCCCAGCTACTTTGGAGGCTAAGACAGGAGGATTGCAAGTTCTAAACCAGCCTGGGTAATTTATGAGACCCTGTCTCAGAAGTATATGAAAAATAAGAGGGCATGGGAATGGGAGGCATAGCTTAATTGGTCCAGTGCTTGCCTAGCATGCATGAAGCCCTGGTTTGGATTTCCAGTACATTAGCCCAGCATGGTGGTACTAGCACTAAGGAGGTGGAGGTAGGAGATTCAAAAGTTCAAGATCCTCTGGGTACATAGTAAGTTTGAGGCAAATCTGGGTTAAGACTCTGCCTCAATTAAAAAAAAAGGGGGGGGGTGCTGAACATACAGCTTAGTGATAGAACGCTTATGAAGGTGGCTCTAGGCTCAGTCCCAAGTACTGCAAAACAAAATAAAAATGAAAAATGGGTCTGAGGTCTTAAGTTAGCCCAAACTGACCTTGGCACAGAGTCACAGGCCCTCCTAACCCCTCCAAGTGCTCACTTGTTTCTTGCTCTAGCTGGGTCACTGTCTCTGGTTCTTCCTCCTGTGTGGTAACTGCCTGCTCTGCTGCCTCCTCCTCATCTTCTTTCTCTGTATGCCAGAAGCAGGAAGAGACCTTGGCCCCAGCCCTGGCCCAGTCCTTCCCTGGCCCACCTGTACCCATCTTACCCTCTGGCCAGAGGTGGGGTGGCTGTAGCCCCATGTAAGTCAAAGATAAATCCAGCCGCACCTGGGAAGAAAAGGAAGGCTGAGAGGAAAGCACCTGCCTTAAGAGAAGGGGAGATAGGGAGCCACTCACTGCCCCTGCATAGTACCTGGGGTGTGAAGACATATTTGTAGAGCTTGAAGTGGCGAAAGTAGGTATTGACCACATAGTCTGCCAAGGCCAGTAGTTGTTCCTCTTTAAAGAGGTCGATACTGAAAGGGGGCCGCTGTGATGTGATGGCAATTAGTTAAGAGCACAGACAGCCTCAATGCCTAGCTCTTCCTCCAAGAGTACATGGATCTAGAAGCAGGGCAAACCCCATAGTGGTCTTCAGAGGAAGAGAAAGGTGAAGATGGGAGAAAGAACAGGAATTTAGGCTAGATCTTGCCTGCAGTTGAGCAAAAGCTCCTTCAGGGTACTGACCCTGACTCCATGGCAAAAAAGAACGCTGGTAAAGTAGCGGTAGCATTCCTCCACGTTGCCCAACGGGGTGGCTGGAGGAAAGCAAGATGGGACAGTGAGGCCTTCCCTGCTTGCCATCCTTTCACCCCACCACTTTTAGAGCATAGGATTCAGAGATGGACATGTCTGGCTTGTCTTAATTCAACCAACAAATACTGAGTTCTCAATACATACTGTTCTAGGCCCTGAACAGGACAGACAAGATCCTACCCACAGGAGGTTTTCTTTGGTTTGGTTTTTGAGATAGGGGTTCATTGTGACTTAGGCTTGTCTGAAACTCACTGTGTAGCTCAAGTTGGCCTCAAACTCATGGCAGATGTTCCTGCCTTAGGCTCCTGAGTGCTGGGGTTTCAACTTGAAACCACACCTGGTGTAAGAAGGCTACTTTGTGTTTATTTTGATACAGTCTCATGTGTCTGGGCTGACCTCAAACTCACTGTGTAATGAGGATGATACTGAACTTCTGACCCTCCCACCTTAACTCCCTAAGTGCAGGGATTGCAGGTATTTGCCACCAAACCTGCTTTATACAGTGCTGGAGTCTAACCTAGGGCTGTATGCTCGTTACCAACTGGGCTACATCCCCAGCCCCTATTTACATACTTCCTAAAACGGTCTGGTAAGTCCCATATCCTTCATTTATTGATAAGGAAACGGTTCAAAGGTGGTAACGGGTGTAATAATACTAGTAATGGCGGAACAAAAATTCCAGATAGCAGTCCTCGTACTTATGTGTCCCACAGTAGCTCGTGCTAGCCTAGCCTCCTCTCCTGGGGCTCAAACCTTTTGGTAGCTACCTCCCTCTCACCAATGCAAGCCTTGTGAAGATCCTGGAGCAAGGCACAAGCCGCTGATGTCTGCTCTAGTGAAAACCTCTGCTGGCGGCAGAAGATGAGTGCATGGGAAAAGAGGTCCAAGGTAATGCCATCCCGCAGGCTCTGCTCAGGACAACCAAGGTCCAAGAGCTCAGCCAGCACCCTTGGGGGAGAGAAGCAAGTGATGTGAACCTTTTTTTGTTTTTGTTTTTTGTTTGTTTGTTTGTTTTACAGATTTTATGTGTATGAGTGATTTGTCTACATGTATGTAAGTGCACCACATGCATGCCTGGTGCCCACAGAGGCCAGAAGAGGTTGGATCCCCTGGAACTGGAGTTACAGGCAGTTGATAACCACAGTGTAGGTACTAAAACTGAACCCAAGTCTTCTGCAAGAGCAACCAGTGCTCTTAACTGCTGATCCAGCTCTCCAGCCCTGAACATGAGGCTCTTTTCATCACCATTACCCTACATCCACCACATGCTTTGGAGTTGGCTATTCCTCATGCCTTCCCTCCCCAAGAGCTCTTCCTCGCCCCACTCAAACCCATACTCCCTCATCTCTTCCACAGTGGCTGTCTTCTCCAGTCGATGCATAGAATGGATGTCCAAGTATTTCCTATCAGGAAAAGGGGAGAAAAAGCATCAAAGGCTGGTATATATCACTTTCATGATGGGACTGACCACTAGAGCATCAGATTAGGAAGCTTTTTTTTTTGAGATAGGGTTTCACCTTGTGGCCCTGGCTGGCCTAAGAAATGTATAGGAGACTTTTTATTTATAAAACCTACAGTTTGAAAACGGGTTCACTTGTGTGGTGGCACATGCCTTTAATCCCAGCACTTGGGAGGCAGAGGCATATGGTTCTCTGTGAGATGGAGGCCAGACTGCACCTGCACTACATAGCCAGTTCCAGGCCAGCTGGGGCTACAGGGAGACCCTGTGTCAAAAAACAACACAAAGAGTTCTTGTCTTGTTGTATGACTTTGGTTGAAGACTCCCTGAGCCTTGGTATCAATTTGCACACGGCAGCGTGATACCCTGTTTCTGTCCTTAGTCCTTGTCTCTTCTCAAACTGCTACTTCTGACTGAGGAGTCTGGAACGCTGGTGCCTGGTCACCTTGAATAACTGCATCTTTGAGCCTCAGTCTCTTCATCTGTAAAATGGGGGAGCCCTGGCTGCTGGACAGGACTGTTGGGAGACCTTAAAGGAATAATACAAATGAGCAATGGAACTTTCCTCAAGGCTTTTCACACTCACCACATACAGATCCGGGGCTGGGGCAGCAGTGGCTGTGGAGAGAAAGCAGATTGGGGAAAGAAGCAGTATATGGCTCCTAGTTCCTGGTCCGTCGTGAATCTAGAGTAGGTCTGAGACTGCTACATTTACTCTATCTCTGGGACAAAGAGGGCGGGGCGGGGCTTCAGCAAGGCCCTAAATACTATTAGCCTATTAACCATCGAGGTCAAAACCTCCCCACAACCAAGGCACCCAAGAAACGTTAAACGGGGAAACTATAAGTATTTATTAGCGGTCCACTCTGTTCTGCTCTCACCGGGAACAAGTCGGCTCCAGGGTCTTCATTCACTTCAGAGTTCGTGGCTGCCGTGGCCGACTCGGTCGCCACACCTGTTCCGGTCCTCAGGACGGATCCACCCGCTAGGCTGGAACACCTGTCCAGTTCCTGTTGCAGTTTGGAGGGCAGTTCCAGCTCCGACTGCACCCTCACCCCCTGTAACTGGCTGGATTTCGGGCTAAGCATGTCCCATCAAGCGTTCGCTTGCCTGGGTTCTGGCATACCATACAAAAGTGGCGAAGAGGCGAAGCGCAGCAAATATGCAGGGGCGTCTCCCCGGCGACCGTTGTTAGGACCAGGCTTGGAAAGAAGCAAAGTTGAAAGTACAAACACTCGCCAATCAGGTGGCGCAGCGAGCGCATGCGTACTGCGTTGCACGTGCCCACTTGGCTATCCCTGAAGTTGCTAGCAGCGGTGCTTTTATTTATGTATCTGCGTGCAGGTGTACGAGGAGCCCGACGTGGGTGTCGGATCTCCCGAGCTGGACGTCGCCGCCCATTGGCGCTGGAATAAGAACTCAGGTCCGCGAGAAGAGTACGAAGCTCTTCACTGAGCTTCCTCTCCAGCCCCGCTCCGCTCAGTCTGAATTGCAGCACAGCGCGTATCGGTTACTATAGGAACCGCTTGCGGGCCAATCATGAAGAGAAAGAGGAGGCGTTCGGGAGGAAACAGTAAGACTCCAGAGGCGGAACCGAGCGCCGCCAATAGAAACAGGAAACAAGAAGTTTCGCCACATCCGGGAGCTACTGGGCGCCTGCGCCCTGTATCTGGGCGGCCGCTGACGTCCGGTGAAATCCAAGATGGTGGTGCTCGGCTGACCCGGCTGCGGTGAGGACCAGGGCCTCGGGGGCGGGGTCCAGCAGGTGTGTCCAGCAGACGCTCGCACACGCCTGCGGCCCGTGTTCGGCAGGTGACGGAAGTGCGGCCTCGGCCCACCCGACGCCTCTCAGGGAACCCTGCGCCTCCTGCCATCGCTGCTATGTCCGGGCTCAGCAACAAGCGCGCCGCGGGCGACGGGGGCTCAGGGCCCCCCGAGAAGAAGCTGAGCCGAGAAGAGAAGACCACCACCACCCTCATCGAGCCCATTCGTCTTGGGGGCATTTCTTCCACGGTTCGTGGGGTTTTGTCTTTCGCTGCCCAGAGCGTTCAGAATCTCATGCGTACACATAATGGGAGAGGGGGCGCGCCTCGGCGCGGGTGTGGTCGGAGGACAACTTTGTGGAGTCGGACCTCGCCATTCCGCTTTACGTGGTTTCCGGGAATCGAACTCGGGTCACCGAGCTCTCCGACAAGTGTCTACCCACTGTCCATCCCTGCCCTGCCGGCCCTCCTTGAGAATCTTAAGGCCATTTACCCAAGCTTAGCAAAGTCCACTTGTACATACACAGTATGTACAGCATACTCTGTGGAAGAAGGCTGAGAGAACATGACATACATTCCCTCTGCAGTTATATAAATGTTCGTATAAGTCGAGTGATTTGTCAAAAACTTGAGAAGCGACTGCAAACCTTTTCATGTGCAGATGCTTTCTCTGTAGGTGTCTGAGTCTTTAAATCTTACTAGTTGGGGGCTGGAGAGATGGCTCAGTGGTTAAGAGCCTATACTATTGCAGAGGACCTGAGTTCCCCGCACCGCTTCGAACAGCTTAAAACTGCTTGTAACTCCAGTTCCAGGGAGATCCAATGCCTCTGGCCTCCACAGGCACCTGCCACACACTCTCACACACATAGACATACACAAAATTAAAAATAAATCTTACTAGTTGGTACTTGGAATGGCCCTCCCCCTTTCCCATTTTATTTACTGTTTTCCTCTGTGATGGTTTCTGAGTCCTGTTTGTCAATTCCCTCCTTTGTAAACCCCTTTATAGGAGGAGATGGACTTGAAAGTACTACAGTTCAAGAACAAGAAACTGGCAGAACGACTGGAACAGCGACAAGCTTGCGAAGATGAACTCCGAGAACGGATTGAAAAGTTGGAGAAGCGGCAGGCCACAGATGATGCCACACTCCTCATAGTCAACCGATATTGGGCCCAGGTGGATGTCCTCTGCTCTCTAAGACCTGGCCTTTATTCACTGATTGCGCTTTGGGAAAAGCACTGAGACATTCATAACTTCTTTGGTGCTTTCTCCTTTCAGCTGGATGAAACTGTAGAAGCCCTTCTCCGATGCCATGAGAGCCAGAGGGAACTGTGTGCAGGGACAGAGGCCTCTGGGAGCCAGGAGGGGCCAACACGTGACATTATCCCTCTCACAGAGCCAGGCACATCAGAACTGAATGGTAGGACCCTAGGATCTGGGGAGCTTAAGTTCTGAGAAAGGTCTTGGGGAGGAGATGACAGTGGTGGTGGGCTGCTGAATTGCCTACCCCACCCACAATCATTAAAAAATTAATTTCTTGTTTGGGTATTACAGTATGGTGGCTAAGAGCAAAAGCTTTGGACTCTAAATTCATAGTGCTATTTGTGTTGACACCCATTTTAATTCAGGTATTGAGTACCAAATATTGACTATCAAGTTAACACTGTTCTGCACTTGAAAGAATCAGAGACAATCTAAAATATTATTTGTGCCATAAAGAATAAAACCATATAAGCCATAATAAATAAAAAATATTGGGACCCCCAAAAGGAATACGTGTAGTGTGTGCATGCGTGTGTGCGTGTGTGTCTACTTTAGATTGAGCAGATAGAGGCGGTTTTTCTGAGGATGTGAATTGGCAGCTCCCTAAAAAAAATTAAGCATACACCTTTAATCCCAGTGCTCGGAGGTAGAGGCAGGTGGATCTCTGAATTTGAAGCCTACCTGGTCTACGTACAGTGAATTCCAAGTCAGCCAGGGCTACATAGTGAGACCCTGTCTCAATAAAGAAAATTAATGGAGCTGGAGTAATGGCTTAGCCGTTAAGAGCACTTGCTACCCTTTACAGAGGACCCAGCTTTGGTTCCCAGCATCCACAAGGATGGGTAACAACAGTCTGTAACTCCAGTTCCAGGGGATCTGATGCCTTCTGGACTCCAAGGCAGGCATGTGGTACATGTACATGCATTCATGTAAAACGCTGATGTACATAAAAATAAATCTAAAAAAGAGAAAACTAACTATTTACCCCCTTATAAGATGAGGATTAAGGGAGCACTGCAGGTTGTAGTGATTAAATGAGCCATGGAGTACTAAAGAGCTTATACTGGAACGTGGTGTAGGTTGGTGGTCACTGTTGCTTTTATTCTCATGAGGATCTGTCCTTTCCAGAGCCCCTGCCAGCGCAGCTGCGACCACCTCTCAGTGAGCCAGCCTTGGCTTTTGTGGTTGCGCTGGGTGCCAGCAGCAGTGAGGAAGTGGAGCTGCAGCTGCAGGGACGGATGGAATTCTCCAAGGCTGCTGTGTCCAGGGTGGTTGAGGCCTCAGACCGCCTACAGCGTCAGGTGGAGGAGCTCTGTCAGCGAGTGTACAGCCGGGGTTAGTTCTTAATACAGAAGTCATTTTCCACCTGCATCCTTGGGAGTCCCCATCCCTGATCTCACTAATTACTTGAGACCAGAGTTCCCTATGGAATAAATCAACCATGTTCTTGTTGGAAATGCTTAGTTCCAGATGGGGATTTCAACTTTGATTCCTGAAGTTGAATTCTAGAGAGATGGCTGGAGTTGTTGATGCTGATAGGGCCACATCCTTCCTGCCAGAGGACTTTGGAATACTTTGTACAAAATTCTGTTCCCAGGAGACAGTGAGCCTCCCACTGAGATGGCATGGGCACGCACCCGAGAGCTGGGTCGGGAGAACCGTCGACTGCAGGACTTGGCCACTCAGCTGCAAGAGAAGCACCACCGCATCTCGTTGGAGGTGGGAGTTGGGCTTTTGGGGTGGACGTAGGACAGGGTTTATTTTAGGCACCTAAAAGATCTCAGAAAAGTAAGCCTTTATCCAAGCGTCTGTACTTTCCATTGCCCCCCAGTACTCTGAGCTGCAGGATAAAGTGACATCAACAGAGACCAAGGTCTTGGAGATGGAGACAACAGTGGAGGACCTGCAGTGGGACATTGAGAAGCTGCGCAAGCGAGAGCAAAAGCTCAATAAGCACCTGGCAGAGGCCTTGGAGCAGGTGAGGGAACAGATGGAGCCAAGTTGAGTACTTGGGGCCCTAGCTTCTGCCCTTCACCTCCATCGTATCTGTTTTCTCTGCAGCTCAACTCTGGCTACTACGTGTCTGGGAGCTCCTCAGGCTTTCAGGGAGGCCAAATCACACTTAGCATGCAGAAGGTGAGTAGCATCATTTCAGTCCCTCTCTACCCTTTTCTGTCCCACCTTTGAGCTTAAGTGCTAGGAACCAGACAGATTGGAGAGGACAAATAAAAAAGCTTTAGTTGATTTTATCTTTGAGAGGCCCACACTACTGATCTTCTGCCACCCAAGTGTTTGGATTACAGGTGTTGTACCACCATGCCCTGCTTCAAAGCAAATCTTTTAATAACTCCAACTCTTTCATGGTAGAAGGAGTAAGGCTTTCATGGAGGTTAGGTTCCAGTCGGGGAAAAGACATCAGTTGGTTATAAGCAGCATAAAGAAAAGGCATAGGCAAGAGATAAAGGTGAGTCCTTTGGTTTCCGAGGTCCTTGTGCTCTTTTACTTCCACTCCTTCTTCAGTCTTCCAAAAAATACAAGACCTTAGGTCCCATGCAGTGTTGATTTTCTCTCACTTACCTGAGTGCCTTTAGGAAAATCCTTGGTCTGGGGTTTTATATGTCAGTGCTCTGCACAGGGGAGTGTGGGTGGAATACATGGTGGAGTGCTAGGGGAACATACTGCCCATCCTGGTCTTGCCTACCACAGCCCCTTCCACTCCTTAGTTTGAGATGTTGAATGCAGAGCTGGAAGAAAATCAGGAATTGGCCAATAGCCGCATGGCAGAACTAGAGAAGCTGCAGGCTGAGCTTCAGGGGGCTGTTCGAACCAATGAGCGTCTTAAGGTAGGCTATGGTTGTGGATAAGGGGGTCTGGACTGAGACTCAAATCCTCTTGCTAATAGTACACTTTTGAACATCCTCACCCACAGGTAGCCCTGCGGAGCCTTCCTGAAGAGGTGGTACGTGAGACAGGGGAGTACCGCATGCTACAGGCCCAGTTTTCACTTCTCTACAATGAGTCTTTACAAGTGAAGACCCAGCTAGATGAGGCTCGGGGGCTGCTGCTGGCCTCCAAGAACTCACACTTGAGACACATTGAGCACATGGAGGTATGGTCTTTGAATAGGTTGGGGGTGAGGGTAAGAACTAGACCCTTAGTGTTGAGATATTCCTGGGCTTCTGAGCCCCTGTGTATCGACCTAAGAGTCCCTTAGGCATAGATTCTTCCTTGACTTGAGAGTGGGACAGGTTGTATGTCTTTTTTTTTTTTTTAATTAATCTTTTATTATTTTCTAATATATTTCAAAAAATGCCATTCTAGTTGCCTTCACTGTTCTGTAAGACCTGGATTAAAAGAACACTTAGAACATACAAAGATCAAGTTGAAATACCTACTCGTACTGAACTATTACTACCAAAGTTACAGGGTTTTTTTTGTTTGTTTGTTTTTTTGTTTTTTTTAGTCTTTTTGAGACAGCTTCTTCCTGTAGCCCCAGCTGTTCTGGAACTCACCATGTAGACCAGGCTGGCCTTGAACTCACAGAGCTCCACCTGCCTCTGCCTCCCAAGTGCTGAGATTAAAGGCGTGTGCCACCACGCCCAGCCCAAAGTTACAGTTTTTAAATGAGCACATGTGATAACACAAAATAAGAGCCTGTTAAAACAATGTAAACATTGCTTTGATGGCTACAGAAAGGAGGTGGTTTAGTTTTCTTTTTTCAACACATCTGGCTCTGTCAGCAAGTAGAAGTACATAGTAAAGTGCCGGGTGCCCTGAAATCCTGACTTTTATGTGCTTGTCACTTGAATTAGGGCCCAGATACCTGAAAAAAATTATTCTAAATACTTTCAATTTTGCTCCCTCCAGAAAGTCACAGTGTTAATGAACACAAAACTCTTCTTGTTGATGGTATTTTACATTATTTTTCTCCAGTGACACTAGACTAAATTTTCTCTAAAAGAGAAAGAAGCAATGAAAATGCAAGGAAACCATCCAGGTCCACTTTTCACCTCACGGTCTCCAAGTTACAAAGAGCAGCCTATATGCAAATGAAAGTAAATCAGTTTCCTCCTCTTAGGGTTTTTGTTTGTTTTGTTGTTGTTTTGAGACAGGGTCTCCCATAATCACAACTAGCCTGGAGCTTCCTATATAGATCAAGTTGGCCTCAGTCTCACAGAGATCCACTTGCCTCTGCCTCCCAAGTGCCCCATACATAGAGATTTGCAGGCCAGCTGGGGCTACAGGGAGATCCTGTCTCGAAAAAAAAACCAAAACAGATTTAGCTGGATTTCCAGAATTAGTTGCCACATATTTTAGAATTTTAAGAAAGGATGATTACATTCATGTAATTAGGTGTTACCTTAAATATCATATATGTGGGGGTTGAGAGATGGCTCACTGGTTAAAGAGCAATTACTGCTCTTGCAGGGGACCCATATTTGGTTCCCAGCACCCATATGGAAGTTCACAACTGTCTGTAACTCCAGTTGCAGGGGATCTAGTGCCTGCTTCTGGTTTTCCTGAGCTTGTGGTATACATATATTCATTAAGGCAAGCACTCATACACATATAATAAAAAATAAATCTTAACACCCATGCGTGCATGTGTGCGTGTATGTGTGTGTGTGCGTGTTCACTGAAATCTTTTGTTTTCTGGCTAGACATGAAAAATAAGATTAAGTGATCAAAGCCCAGGCATGGTGATGCATACCTTTAATACTAGCACTGGTGAGGCAGGGACAGGTGGATCTGTGAGTTTGAAGACAACCTGGTCTATATCATTGGAAGTTCCAGGCCAGCTGGGGCTACATAGTGAGACCTTGTTTCAAAAAAAAACAAAAGCGACCAATGCTGATTTTATTTTGCCAATGCTGGCAAAACTTGGGTCTTTTTTCATTCATTATGACTGTAGCATTTTCATAGGATTGTATGTCTTTAATACCTCAACCTGCAGAGTGATGAGTTGGGGCTGCAAAAGAAACTCCGCACAGAAGTTATCCAGTTGGAGGATACCCTGGCCCAGGTGCGAAAGGAGTACGAGATGCTGCGCATCGAGTTTGAACAGAACCTGGCGGCCAATGAGCAAGCTGGTATGTGGTGGGGCTGGGCTGGAGGTAAGGCCTTAGGTAGGGGTTCTGGATCCTGCTATGCCTGCTGCTTGTCTAGGTGCAAGAAGTTGAGCCCCTTGTTTTCTCAGAGCCTCAGTTCCCTGTGGAAAAGAGAGACTGCACTCCTTGGCTCATAGCACAATGAGTGTCACACCCAACCAAGATGGTTAGCAGACAGCATGCCTGAATATAAGCCATCAACTTTGTGGTTCTCTGGTCTTCTGCTGCCTCTGAGAGACTTACTGAGTACTGCATTTGAGCTACTCTAGTAGGCTTCATGGGCTATGCCAGTGAACAAAACAAAAAAATCTCTGGCATTCTAATAGAGGAATGGTAGACAAGAAAGGAAAAATAGACCTGAGATAGTGGTGAAGATACCAATAAAAGTGAAGCAAGAAAGGAAAGTAGAAGGTATCAGGAGAGAGTTCAGTTTGGGACGAGAGGCCATGCAGGTATAATGGAGAAGTGAAATTGTTTAAGAATCTCAAAGATGCTAGGTATGGTGGCACATACCTTTAATCCCAGTGCCGAAGAGGTAGAAGCAGGTGGATCTCTGTGAATTCAAGGCCAGCCTGGTTTATATAGCAAGTTCTAGACAGACAGTGTAACCTAGTAAGACCCTATCTAAAAAAGAAATACAAAAAAGGAACTGGAGAGCTGGTTGTGGTGACGCCCGCCTTTAATCCCAGTACTTGGGAGACAGAACAGCAGTTCTCTATGAGATTGAGGCTAGCCTGGTCTCCATAGCAAGTTCCAGGCTAGCTGGTGCTACAGGTACACCCTGCCTCAAAACCAAAAACAAAGGGTGGGGGGTGGGAGAGATGGCTCAGTGGTTAAGAACACCTGACTGTTCTTGCAGAGGACCCAGGTTTGCTTCCCGCACCCACAACCATCTCTAACTCTAGTTTCAGGGCATCCAGTATCCTCTTCAAATCCTCTGTGGGCTTTGCACATACTTATATACATGCAAGCAAAATACTCATACACATAAAATAACAAATTTTAAATAGTAACTATTGCATTGAAAAAAATGTCGAAGTATTGAAATCTGCCCTAAAAGGTACTTGCTTATAACCTGATGACCAAAACTGACAAGCTGAGTCCGATTCCCAGGACCTATGTGGTAGAAGGAGAACCAACTCTGACAAATTGTCTTCTGCTTCCATACATGCACCGGGGCATGTGCCCCCTCCCTCAAAGTAAAAAAAAAAAAAAATTCGCTCAGATTATAGACTGAGTACCATGCCTGAAGCCCTGGGCTTAATCCCCAACACTGCATAAAAGTGTAGTAGTAGCCCGGCGTGGTGGCGCACGCCTTTAATCCCAGCACTTGGGAGGCAGAGGCAGGTGGATCTGTGAGTTCAAGGCCAGCCTGGTCTACATAGTGAGTTCCAGGGCAGCTGGGGCTCAAGGGAGACCCTGTCTCAAAAAGAAAGTGTAGTAGTACACACCTGTAATCCCAGAACTTGAGATGTGAAGCAAGTCAGAAGTTCAAGGTTATCCTTTGCTACCCAGCAAGTTCCAGACAGCCTGGTATACAGGAGATAGTGTCTCAAACAACAGCAACAACAAAAATCTACCCTAGAACCAAAAAAATTGAAAAAAAAAATAACCTAGCAAAAATAGCACAAGCAGTGTCAAGTTAATTTGAGGAGAGTTTCCTTCAAGACTACATTATTTACTTGGGTGAAATCATACTCTAAGGCTTTAATTTTCCTTTTCTGTACAATGAGAATGTTGGCTCTGGCTCAGCCTCTTGTCTTGCTGAGGGGCTGGAAGGAAACAGTCCAACACCCTTCCCTACCTTTCTCTAGGGCCTATCAACCGTGAGATGCGCCACCTGATTAGCAGTCTTCAGAATCATAACCACCAGCTAAAAGGGGATGCCCAGCGATATAAGCGGAAACTTCGAGAAGTACAGGCTGAGATTAGCAAGGTGAGGAAAGAGAGCTGCCTAGGAAACACCTTGGCTAGACCTCAGTGAATACTCATACATACTTCTGTCTTTGCAGCTCCGGGCCCAGGCCAGCGGCTCTACCCACAGCATCCCTAACTTGAGCCATCCAGAGGACTCTAGCCTCAGTACCCTACCTCCAGGGAAAGAAGATGGTGGGCCAGGCCCTGGAGGTACTCCTGAAAACAAAAAGGAGATGACTTTAGTGCCTGGAATCACCACTACTACCTCCTCAGTAAAGAAAGAGGAGCTGGTCCCCTCTGAAGATGATGCCCAGACCCTAACCCCTGGGACCCAGGGCTTGTCCTCCCGGGGCCGAGAACCTGAGGCCAGACCCAAGCGAGAACTTCGGGAACGGGAAGGGCCTAGCCTAGGACCCCTACCTGTAGCCTCAGCTCTCTCAAGGGCTGATCGAGAAAAGGCCAAGCTGGAGGAAGCCAAGAGGAAGGAGTCAGAACTGCTCAAAGGTCTTCGAGCAGAACTCAAGTGAGGCCCTATTACTGTCTCCTCTAAGCCCTGTCAAGTGGCCCTCAGCCCTTCTTACCAAGATCTTCTCCTATACCCTTCCACAGGAAGGCCCAAGAAAGCCAGAAGGAGATGAAACTGCTGCTGGACATGTACAAATCAGCACCCAAGGAGCAGCGGGATAAAGTGCAACTCATGGCAGCCGAACGGAAGGCCAAGGCTGAGGTAAGGGCAGGTGGGGTGTAGAGTCTTGCCCAGGGACTTTTTGGTTGGCAGATTGGCTTGCTGCTTTTTTTTTTTTTTTTTTTTTTTTTTTTTGGGGACCAGGTTTTGGGGACCCCCCCTTTGG